AGATATGATCCACCTCGCCTGTTGTGTGTTTTATTCCATTTGTGTTTTTCTGAGTACAAGCTTTGTGATTGGTTGATTGGTTATTGTGTATAAAAGTTACGATCACTTCAACCCGAGGATGCTGAGTAGAAAAAAAAAACAACCATAAAATAATAAACCAGGCAAGGTGGCTCATGCCTGTGATCCCAGCACTTCTGGGGACTGAAGGAGGAGGATTGCTTCAGTCTAGGAGTTTGAGACCAGCTTCTACAACATCGTGAGGCCCTGTCTCTATAAAAAGTCTAAAAAATTATTTGGGCATAGTGGCACACGCCTGTAGTCCCAGCAACTTGGGAAGCTGAGGTGGGAGGATTGCTTGAGCCTGGAATCTGGAGCCTGCAGTGAACTATGATTGTGCCACTGCACTCCAGCTTAGGCAACAAAATGAAATTTTGTTTAAAAATACGTGTGCATATGTGTGTGTGTAAGGTTGCAGATGGGCACTATGCTTTATGCCTGTAATCCCAGCATTTTGGGAGGCCCAGATATGCAGATTGCTACAGCCCAGTAGTTCAAGATCAGCCCTGGCAACATACTGAGACTCTGTCTCTACCAAAAAAAAAAATTAGCCAAGCATGGTGATGCATGCCTATAGTCCCAGCTACTCAGGAGCCTGAGGTGGGAGGATCACTTGAACTTGGAAGGTCAAGGCTGCCACGGTGAGCCATGAGCCGTGGTTATGCCACTCCAGCCTGGGTAACAGAGCAAGACTCTGCCTCAAAAAAAAGAAAATGACTCATCCTGTTGAGTTAACATTAATTTTGTGCATGTAATTATTTTTAAATATTTTATACTATTCAAGTAAATTGATGAAAGGGACAGAGTGCAGTGGTGTCATTAGAGTTCACTGCAGCTTCAAACTCCTATGCTCAAGTGGTCCTCTCACCTAAGCCTCTCAAGTAGCTTGGGCTAAAGACATGTTCCACCATGTCTGTCTAATTTTTTCTTTTTTTTTCTAAAGAGGTGGGGTTTTGCTGTGTTCCCCAGGCTGATTTTAAACTCCTGGCCTCAAGTGATCCTTCCACCTTGGACTCCAAAGGTGCTAGGATTACAGGCACGAGCCACCATTCCCTGCTGGTATTACTCCTCTATTGGACATTTGTTTATTTACTTACTTTTAGAGACAAGGTCTCTGTCGCCGTGGCTGGAGTGCAGTGCATAGTTCACTAGAACCTTAAACTCTTGGGCTCAAGCAGTCTTCCCATCTCAGCCTCCCAAGTGGTTAGGACTACAGGCATTCACTACCACACCTGGCTAATTTATGAGACATTTAGACTCTTCACTTTTTTGGAGGGAGGAAATAAGTCAATCTATAGTTTTGTGGGTTTTTTCCCCCTTCTATTTAGGATGTTTCCTTAGGGTAGACAGCCAGAAATGAGAACTTCTGGGTCAAAGAACATTGAAAAAAATGTTTACGCATGTTAATATGTTTTATTTTCCAAAAATATGCTATCATTTTGCATTTTCACAAGTGTTGTGTGAGCTGTACAAATGTTCTTTTCGCTACATTTGTAAAGTCACACAAAAGGCTGGGCGTGGTGGTGGCTCACGCTTATAATCCCAGCACTTTGGGAGGCCAAGGCAGGCTGATCGCGAGGTCAGGAGTTCAAGACCAACCTGACCAACATGGGGAAACCCCGTCACTACTAAAAGTACAAAAATTAGTTGGGTGTGGTGGTGAGCATCTGTAATCCCAGCTACTTGGGGGACTGAGACAGGAGAATCGCTTGAACCTGGGAGGCAGAGCTTGCAGTGAGCCGAGATCACACCACTGCATTCCAGCCTGGGCAGCAAAGTGAGACTCCGTTTAAAAAAAAAAAATCCACAAAAGATAATTGTTAATTGTAGCTAGTTTGTTTCCTATTTCAATATCTACCCCCCCTTTTTTTCCCTGTGTTTTCATGCTCCATATATTCAGGTAAATGACCTCCGAAAAGAATTAGAAAGTCGAGCTCTTAGTTCCAAAGGATTAAAATCCCAGTTAATAGCCCGACTGACAAAACAGCTTAAAGTAGAGGAACAAAAAGAGGAACAGAAGGAGTTAGAGAAATCTGAAAAAGAAGAGGATGAGGAGGATGATAGGAAATCTGAAGACGATAAAGAGGTATGTACTCAATCTATTATTACACTCTGTGGTATTAATACTCATGTATAGGGTGTTCTTGGAATACGTGAGTTAAGATTATGTGTGTGTATGCTTTTATTTATTTGTTTTATTTTGGCTTTTTTTTTTTGAGACTGAGTCTTGTTCTGTTTCCCAGGCTAGAATGCAGTGGAGTGATCTCTGCTCACTGCAACCTCCACATCCCAGGTTCAAGCTATTCTTCTGCCTCAACCTCCCGAGTAGCTGAGATTACAGGCACCCGCCCCTATGCCCAGCTATTTTTTTGTATTTTTGGTAGAGTCAGGGTTTCACCATGTTGGCCAGGCTAGTCTCAAACTCCTGACCTTGTGATTCGCCTGCCTCCGCCTCCCAAAGTGCTGGGATTACATGCGTGAACCCCCGCACCCAGCTATTTATTTTCCGAGACGGGGTTTCACTCTTGTTGCCCAGGAGGGAGTGCAATGGCACAATCTCGGCTCACCACAACTTCCACCTCCTGGGTTCAAGCAATTCTCCTGCCTCAGCCTCCCGAGTAGCTGGGATTACAGGCATGCACCACCACGCCTGGCTAATTTTGCATTTTTAGTAGAGATGGTGTTTTTCCGTGTTGGTCAGGCTGTTCTCGAACTCCTGACCTCAGGTGATCTGCCTGCCTCAGCCTCTCAAAGTGCTGTGGTTACAGGTGTGAGCCACCATACCTGGCCATGTGTATGCTTTTATTAAGGTGCAATTTACTTATAATAAAATTCAACCTTTTTTGTTAATAGTTCTGTGAGTTTTTACAAATGCATATAGGTATATAACCACCACCAACACCACAATGAAGATACAAAACATTTCTAGATAAATGGCTCAGAAATTGAGTTCTAGTGAAGTGCTTATTCCAGAATCTGTCTGCTTCTAAAACAGTATGTTTGATTGAATCAAACCTTGAGACTCAGACTATTTATTCAAGCTGTTTTATGCTTCCGTTTTTTGTCCAGTAGACTAACTCCTGAATACATAAGCCTGTTACTTTGTTTTCTGAATTTGAAATATAGAGATCTCAAAAGTGTGTTTTAGCACCAGTAATTGGATAAGCCATATAATCAGTTTCTAAATCTTATCCATTGTAAAGTACACATCATTATTTATGAAGAATTCCTTCCAGAAATATTTACTCTAAATCTGCTTGTGATTTAGTGGTCCTCTCACCTAAGCCTGGGTGACAGAGCAAGACCCTGTGAGAAAACAGATAAATCTAGAATGAAATTTTCTTTTTTAAATTTTTTATTTTATTATTTTTTTTTTTAGAATATGAAAAATTCTCAGCTCTCCTAAACTTTTCAAAAAATGGTCTATATAATGAAAGATAAAAGAAAGAAATGGTTAAAGGGATCTCTTAGATTAAAGGAGGCTAATGAGACATAACAACCAAATAACTAAGTGAAACCTGACTAGATCCTGGATGGGTGAAAATAAAAGTCGTAGAGAGTATTTTTGGGACAGTTGGAGAAATTTGATTATGGATATGGATATGACATTAGATAATATTAAAGCAGTGTTAAATTTCTTGAATGTGATAATGGTTTTGTAATTTTGTAGGATAATTACCTTGTTCTTAGGTGATGCATGGACTTGTGATTTCTTATTTTTTTGTGTATTTATTTTTATTTTTTAATTTTATTTATTTATGGCTGGGCGCGGTGGGTCATGCCTGTAATCCCAGCACTTTGGGAGGCCGAGACGGGTGGATCACAAGGTCAAGAGATCGAGACCATCCTGGCTAACACGGTGAAACCCCGTCTCTACTAAAAATACAAAAATTAGCCAGGCGAGGTGGTGGGCGCCTGTAGTCCCAGCTACTCGAGAGGCTGAGGCAGGAGAATGGCGTGAACTTGGGAGGCGGAGCTTGCAGTGAGTGGCAATCGCACCACTGCACTCCAGCCTGGGTGACAGAGTGAGACTCCGTCTCAAAAAAAAAAAATTTTTATTTATATATTTACTTATTTATTTATGTTTTTTTTTTTTTTTTGAGACGGAGTCTCACTCTGTTGCCAGGTTGGAGTGCAGTGGCACAATCTCGGCTCACTGCAACCTCTGCCTCCTGGGTTGAAGCTGTTCTTCTGCCTCAGCCTCCCGAGTAGCTGGGACTGCAGGCACCCACCACCACACCCAGCTAATTTTTGTATTTTTAGTAGAGACGGGGTTTCGTCATGTTGGCCAGGATGGTCTCGATCTCTTGACCTCATGATCCACCCGCCTCAGCCTCCCAAAGTGCTGCTATTACAGGCTGATATTGCACTGCTCTTGACCTTATTTTTATTTTTTGAGACAGAGTCTCTCTCTGTTGCCCAGGCTGCAGTGGAATGGCATGATCTCGGCTCATTGCAATTTCTGCCTCCTGGGTTCAAGCGATTCTTGTACCTCAGCCTCCCGAGTAGCTGGGATTACAGGCGCCTGCCACCATGCCTGGCTAATTTTTGTATTTTTAGTAGAGATTGGGTTTCGCCATGTTAGCCAGGCTGGTCTGAAATTCCTGATCTCAGATGATCCACCCACCTTGGCCTGCCGAAGTGCTGGGATTACAGTTGTGAGCCACCGTGCTCGGCCCTCAATGAGTTATTTTCATGATGAAATTGTCCCAGACGTTGGATGGTGGGAGTTCTTTCAAGCTATGTGCCCTTTTGACATATCTTTATCACTTTTTGAGGACTTTTTACTTACTAGCATTTTAAAGCATTTCAATTTTATTTTGTGCTATCCTTGTCCTAGTTCAGGAATCAGTCATTTCCCCAGGAAGCCCTGGTTCCTTTTTAGTGAAGAATGGTATTTAGAAGCCAAGATATGCTCATTGCAATTAGGTTGCTGCTCCCAACCCCCTTCAGTGAACGGAGATACAGAAGATATATAGATAAATAGATAACACTTACCAATATTTAAATCTATATTTATTTCTATATCTTACGCATATTGAAAGCTGTGAATTTACACGGGTGCCTCCAATTCTTCCAATGACATGACTCTGCCCTGTGCTATCTCTGCATGGATTACTCTCCTTGCTCCATCTGGGTTTCAATGTTTAGTAATGAAGGAGCTCATCATCAATGGGCAGTTGTGGCTCCACCACCCTGCCAGCCTCCATCTCCTGTGTAGACATCTACATTCCTTGAAAAGAGTGCTTTAGGCCGGGTGCGGTGTCTCAAGCCTGTAATCCCAGCACTTTGGGAGGCCGAGACGGGGGATCACGACGTCAGGAGATCGAGACCATCCTGGCAAACATGGTGAAACCCCGTCTCTACTAAAAAAAATACAAAAAACTAGCCAGGCGAGGTGGCGGGCGCCTGTAGTCCCAGCTACTCAGGAGGCTGAGGCAGGAGAATGGTGTAAACCCGGGAGGTGGAGCTTGCAGTGAGCTGAGATCCAGCCACTGCACTCCAGCCTGGGCAACAGAGCGAGATTCCGTCTCAAAAAAAAAAAAAAAAGAGTGCTTTAGAACTGAATTGTTCAGGTTAGATGGAGACAACTTCATGAGACCCCATCTCTACAAAGAAAAAAAAAAAAATTAGCCGAGCATGGTCACATGTGGCTGTAGTCTCAGCTACTGGGGAGGCTGACATGGGAGGATTGCTTGAACCCAGGAGGTCAGTGCTATTTGTGAGCTATGATCACACCACTACTCTCTGGCCAGGGTGACAGAGTGAGACCCTGTCTCAAAAAAAAAAAAAACAAAAACCTTTGTGTATAATGAAATGCACAAACCCAGTCCCTTTTTGGATTGGCTTTTAGCAGGCCTGGTTCTCCCTTCCCACTGCCATTTCTATTAGAGAAGCCGAAGAATTGCTACAGATAGGGTCAGATACATGATCTGTCTACCAATCAGATACTCACTTTCTGAATTTTGAATGTTAAGAATGTGATGCAGAATGTCTGTGTCTCTTGTAACATTTTCTTTTAGCACACTTTAAAAATAGTTAAAATTTTCATCTGCCGTGTGGTGGTGTCTTTCTGGCCCACTTTCGTCATCTACAGGGATATAATTCTGCTGCTGTTTCTCACTCTTTTTTTAAAAATACTAAATTTGTGTGGGATTTGACCTCAATATTTGAATCATTTTTATGTGAATTTAGATTGTCTGAATTTTATAAACGTAGTTTCTTTCAGATAGCTTTTCTAAATTCATAGAGCTCTGCTCTTTTGTTGTTTTGTTTTGTCAGAAACGTACGCTGGCTTGCTTTCTGAAGTTTGCTGTTTCTTTTGCCCTTCATCACTTTTTGTCTGGGCGTTCTCCTATGTCTTTGTTGTTCCTCTCCTACTCCCAGCAGTTTCTCCTCAGTATAGGGCCCTAGTAAATGAGCTTTGCAAGTTTGTAAGGCTAGAGTGGCCTAGGCCTCTTCAGATCTTAAAATAAATTCTCTATTCACTCTCTTGTTAGGGGTAAAATTTTGCCTAGTTTCAGCTGCTGTACTTTCCAGTAAATACCTACTGGCTGTTTTTTGGTTTTCTTGTTCTCCCATTGCTTCCTTATGCTTTCTTTGGACACATTCATCAGTAACACATAGGTCTTTTGGCCTTTTCCCACCCATTTGTATATTGGTTTGTGGGGATACCTTGTCACTTAGTTTTGTTATGAATGCTATCGGTTTTTGATTTTGATATCTATATTGCTTTGTGTTTTTAGTGTGAGGTTTCAGGAAGATCTAAAATCTATGCTACCACTACTATTTTCCCAGAATTTTCTAAATTATATAATCTCAATATAGATAACTTTTCCCCCTCTTTACATGGCAGTTTCTTATGCTGGGAAATCCAAAAGAGAGTTAGGAGCCATCAAAGCTTACTACACTTAGTGAATTTGAACTTTCCTCCCTTCTCAACCCTTATGGTTAGTGTAAGCACCATGAAGAGTCATGGGAATTTTGTTCCTTTCTGTGGTATATATTCGATGTATATTCATCTTGGACGTGTATATACATCATACTTGCAGATTTAACCTTGACTTAAAATTTGAAATATTTAGGAAGAAGAAAGGAAACGTCAAGAGGAAATGGAACGTCAGCGTCGAGAAAGAAGATACATTTTGCCTGATGAACCAGCTATCATTGTACATCCAAATTGGGCTGCAAAAAGTGGCAAGTTTGATTGTAGCATCATGTCTTTGAGTGTCTTGTTGGACTACAGATTAGAGGATAATAAAGAACATTCATTTGAGGTAATGTTTTCCGTTTGAAATAAGAACCATATAAGGGCCACACATTATGACTAGTTAATATATCTCTGAAATCTTTTTTCTTTGTTTTTTACTTTTTTTGTTTTTTTGGTTTTTGGGTTTTTTTTGACACAGAGTTTCACTCTGTTACCCATGCTGGAGTGCATTGGCGTGATGGTGGCTCACTGCAACCTCTGTCTCCTGGGTTCAAGCAATTCTCCTGCCTCAGCCTCCCGAGTAGCTGGGATTACAGGCACCTGCCACCACACCCAGCTAATTTTTGCATTTTTAGTAGAGATGGAGTTTCACCATGTTGGCCAGACTGGTCTCGAACTCCCGACCTCAGGTGATCCGCCTGCCTCAGCCTCCCAAAGTGCTGGGATTACAGGCATGAGCCACTGCGCCCAGCCCCGAATGCCTCTTTTTCATTGCTTGTTTTTTTGAGTTTTTGTTGGTTTTTTCTTGTAATCTACTTCTTGGGAAAAAAATAGATGATTTGTCCTCTAAAGTTTCCTTACAGACTCACTTTTGCTGATTGCATTTCCCTGCTATGGTTTATGCGTTCCTCTGTCTATTCCCTGTATTTCATTTAAATTGATTGTTGGGTCTAAATTTTTAATTAAGTTCAGTTCTGTTTTTTCCCTAAGATGCTTTCTTTTTTTTTTTTTTTTTTTTTGAGACGGAGTCTCGCTCTGTCGCCCAGGCTGGAGTGCAGTGGCCGGATCTCAGCTCACTGCAAGCTCCGCCTCCCGGGTTTACGCCATTCTCCTGCCTCAGCCTCCCGAGTAGCTGGGATTACAGGCGCCCGCCACCTCGCCCGGCTAGTTTTTTTTTTTAGTAGAGACGGGGTTTCACCATGTTTGCCAGGATGGTCTCGATCTCCTGACCTCGTGATCCAACCGCCTCGGCCTCCCAAAGTGCTGGGATTACAGGCTTGAGCCACCACGCCCGGCCAAGACGCTTTCATAAGTAGTGTGGTGTGTTCTTTCTTCAGGATATCCGTAATGTCTAGTTGACTCTTTTGGGGATGAGGTAATGCTTTATTATCTTCTCTAGAATTAAAATAGCATTTAATACCATTTAAAGAGATTAAAAATTTAACTGGTGTTTGAGTTGTAAGAGAAAATAATTGTTGTTGAACTTTTCATTATTAATCTATTTTTTGTATAATTATTTTATTACTTATTTTATATATTTATTTTTGAGACAGAGTCTCACTTTGTTGCCCAGGATGGAATGCAGTGGCACAATCTCAGCTCACTGCAACCTCTGCCTCCCAGGCTTACGCAATTCTCCTGCCTCTCTCCAGGGTAGCTGGGATTACAAACACAACGCCTGGCTAATTATTTGTATTTTTAGTAGAGACAGGGTTTCACCATGTTGGCCAGGCTGGTCTCAAACTCCCAACCTCAAGTGATCCACCCGCCTCACAAATTGCTGGGATTACAGGCATGAGCCCACCGCGCCCGGCCTATTTATTTATTGAGACAGTCTCCCTCTGTCACCCAGGCTGGAGTGCAGTGGCTCGATGTTGGCTCACTGCAACCTCCGCCTCCCGGATTTGAGCTGTTGCCCTCCTTCAGCCTCCTGAGTAGCCGGAATTGCAGTTGCACGCCACCAACCCCGGCTAATTTTTGTATTTTTAGTAGAGACAGGGTTTTCCCATGTTGACCAGTCTGATCTTGAACTCCTGACCTCAGGTGATCCACTTGCCTTGGCCTCCCAAAATGTTGGGATTACAGGCATGAGCCATTTCACCTAGCCTGTATCATTATTTTAGAGCAGCTTTACAACATGTAGTTTAGTTTACAACATGTTGGTTTTCAAAACAATTGAAAACTTTTATCTCTAAGTGTGTAATTGCTTCACTCCTTAAAAATAGAATTTCCAACATAATTAATTTTGTAGTGCCCTGTACAAAATCATATCTAAAATTATTGTGTTTAATTATTTTATCTTATCAACATATCTTATGTTCTTTTGTTTTCTAAATTATATTGGAAAAATCAGTCATGCTTCTTTGAACCAGAAGGTCATTGTTCACCAGCTGGTAAGATGAAAATCAAGGAAGACTAGAGACCTTTGAGGATTACTGAGGCAATTATAAAACATAAAGTCCGTGCTTATTAGTTTTCATATAAAACATGTTATAAATATTAAAATATGTCCAAGTTGTTGGGATTTTTTTTTCCAATGTTAATTATTCCAATAAGCAGATGTCCTTAAAATTAGATGCTATATGACGTTATCTTTTTTTTAAGCAGTTGCCTGGCTGGGTGCAGTGGCTCATGCCTGTAATCGCAGCACTTAGGGAGGCTCAGGCAGGTGGATCACCTGAGGTCAGGAGTTTGAGACCAGCCTGGCCAACATGGTGAAACCCCATCTCTACTAAAAATACAGAAAATTAGTCAGGCTAGGTGATAGGCTCCTGTAATCCCAGCTACTCAGGATGCTGAGGCAGGAGAATGTCTTGAACCCAGCAAGCAGAGGTTGTAGTGGGGCAAGATTGCGCCACTGCACTGCAGCCTGAGCAACAGAGTGAGACTCTGTCTCAAAAAATAAAAAAAGTAAGCAGTTGCCATAAATTGAAGTAATTCCTAATGGTGCCATCCTTGTAATAATCACTTAATAAATAAATACATAGACTGGGCACAGTCACTACAGCACTTTGAGGGACTGAGGTGGGAGAATTGCATGAGCCCAGGAGTCTGAGGCCAGCCTGGGCAACATAGTGAAACTCCATCTCAATATGAAATAAAAAAGATTGGGCAATTAATGAAAAATAGGCTAAAATAAATTAGAGTTACCATAAATTGCATTATCCCTTATAATCAGAAAATGATCTGATTAAACTATTTTAGCAAATATATCAGATTTGCAAAGATGACACATTTAAGGGCTGTGGTCAGCCATTTCAAGTTTTAGCCCTTTTTTGGAGATGGAGTCTCACCCTGTTGCCCAGGCTGTAGTGCGATGACATGATCTTGGCTCACTGTAACCTCCGCCTCCCAGATTCAAGTGATTCTCCTACCTCAGCCTCCTGAGTAGCGCTGGGATTACAGGCATGTGCCTCCATGCCCAGCTAATTTTTGTATTTTTAGTAGAGAGAGGTTTCACCATGTTGACCAGGCTAGTCTCGAATTCCTGACCTCGTAATCCACCTGCCTCAGCCTCCTAAAGTGCTGAGATTACAGGCGCAAGCCACCGCGTGGCCCGTTTTAGCCCTTTTTAAGAGTCTATTGAAAGCAATGGACTTTAGCCTTAGAAATCGGTACATAAGCTGGGCGTGGTGGCTCACGCCTGTAATCCCAGCACTTTGGAGGCCGAAGACGGCGATCACGAGGTCAGGAGATTGGACCATCCTGCTGACACGGATGAAACCCCGTCCTCCTACTAAAAAATACAAAAAAAACTAAGCCGGGGAGGTGCAGGCGCTGTAGTCCCACTACTCGGAGGCTGAGGCAGGAGAATGGCGAACCGCGTAAGGCGGAGCGTGCGCTGAGCCAAGATCGCGCCACCGAACTCCACAGAGCGAGACTCCATCCAAAAAAAAGAAAGAATCGTCCATAAGGGCCAGGTCAGTGGCTCACACCTGTAATCCCAGCACTTCAGCAGTCCAAGGCAAGCGGATCACTGAGGTCAGAGTTCAAGACCAGCCTACCAACATGGACAAACCCCATCTCTACTGAAAATACAAAATTAGCTGGGTGTGGGGCACATACGTGTAATCCCAGCTACTCCAGGAGGCTGAGGCAGGAGAATCGCTGAACCTGGAGGCGAAAGGTTGTAGTAACTGAGATCATGCCATTGCACTCTAGCCTGGGCAACAAGAGCAAAACTCTGTCTCAAAAAAATAAATAGTACATAAAAAATTATAATATAGCCGGGCACAGTGGCTTACGCCTTTAATCCTAGCACTTTGGTAGGCCGAGGCAGGCGGATCACGAAGCCAGGAGATTCAGACCATCCTGCCCTACACCAGTGAAAACCCATCTCTACAAAAAATACAAAATTAGCTGGGTGTGGTGGCGGCACCTGTGGGTCCCACGCTACGGGGAGGCTGAGGCAGGGGAATGGGTGAACCTGGGAGGCAGAGCTTGCAGTGAGCCAAAAACTGCGCCACTGCACTCCACCTCGGCAGCAGAGCAAGACTCTTGTCTCAAAAAAAAAAAAAAAAAAAAACCCCAAAAATTTATGATATATAGCAATAGCCTGTTACCTGGGGATGCTTGCGTAGTAGTAATAGATGTTCCCTATTCAGGGTTTAAAATTGTTTCCCTAATCCAGAATTTTCTTCTCCTAGATACCAATATGGCTTATTTCCTCATTGCCTTCTGTTCACTTTTTAAATGTCACTTTATCAGAGAAGCCTTGTGTTACTATTCTCTCTCGTTATTCTGTAGGTGTGTATCCTGCTTGTTTTTCATATAATTTGATATTGATTTGGTTATTCCTTGTCTTAAAAACCGGGCAGCCCCAGAACCAGAATAGGTTAACAGAGACTTCATGATTTGGTTATTTATTACTTCTCTCCACTGGCTGGATGATAGGAGAGGTTTTTATCAGCTTTCTTCAGTGCTGTATCCCTAATGCCTAAAACAGGCCCTGTACATACCAGGCATTTGATGTAAAATTTATTGAGTAAATTAATAAGGTACACTTATCATGAAGATTAACAGTTCGTTGGCTTTGCGGGGTGGCTCACAACCTGTAATCACAGTACTTTGGGGGGCCGAGGCGGGTGGATCACCTGAGGTCAGGAGTTCGAGACCAGCCTGGCCAACATGGCGAAACTCCATCTCAACTGAAAATACAAAAATTAGCTGGGGTTGGTGGCACAAGCCTGTAATCTCAGCCACTCAGGAGAGTGAGGCAGGTGAATGGCTTGAATTCGGGAACCAAAGGTTGCTGTGAGCCCAGATCACGCCACCGCACTCCAGTTTGGGTGACAGAGCAAGACTGTCAGGAAAAAAAAAAAAAAGATTAATGGTTGTGTTAAAAATTTGATAAGTGGCCGGGTGAGGTGGCTCACTCCTGTAATCCCAGCACTTTGGGAGGCTGGGGCGGACAGATCACAAGGTCAGGAGATCGAGACCATCCTGGCTAACACGGTAAAACCCCGTCTCTACTAAAAATACAAAAATATTAGCCGGGCATGGTGGCGGGCACCTGTAGTCCCAGCTACTTGGGAGTCTGAGGCAGAAGAATGGTGTGAACCCAGGAGGTGGAGCTTACTGTGAGCCAAGATCGCACCACTGCACTCCAACTGGGTGACAGAGCGAGACTCCGTCTCAAAAAAAAAAGAAAAAAAAAAGGTTGATAAGTTTACATAATCATTATATATGGCAAGTTTTTATTTGCTAAATTACTGTGCTAACTTTATTATTTCTGTTGAAATTTGGCTAGGTTCATGTTGGTATCTTTTTATAGGTTTCATTGTTTGCGGAACTTTTCAATGAAATGCTTCAAAGAGATTTTGGTGTCCGTATATACAAATCATTACTGTCTCTTCCTGAGAAAGAGGACAAAAAGGAAAAGGATAAAAAAAGCAAAAAAGATGAGAGAAAAGATAAAAAGGAAGAAAGAGATGATGAAACTGATGAGCCAAAACCCAAACGGAGAAAATCAGGCGATGATAAAGATAAAAAAGAAGATAGAGATGAAAGGAAGGTCTGTAATAACAACCTGCTTTAGAACTTTCAGTTACTCTTCTACGTTATAAAGGTTGATGTTGATTTCCATCAGAATATTAGATGTAAAAGCCAAACTGAAAGATTTTACTATATTAGAAAATCAAGGCCGGGCGCGGTGGCTCAAGCCTGTAATCCCAGCACTTTGGGAGGCCGAGACGGGCGGATCACAAGGTCAGGAGATCGAGACCATCCTTGCTAACACGGCGAAACCCCGTGTCTACTAAAACCACAAAAAATTAGCCGGGCGAGGTGGCGGCGTCTGTGGTCCCAGCTACTCGGGAGGCTGAGGCAGGAGAATGGCGGGAACCCGGGAGGCGGAGCTTGCAGTGAGCTGAGATCTGGCCACTGCACTCCAGCCTGGGCGACAGAGCGAGACTCCGTCTCAAAAAAAAAAAGAAAAGAAAATCAAGTCTTTGAAACCATCACGGCTAACACGGTCAAACCTCATCTCCACTAAAGATACAAAAAATTAGCCAGACGTGATGGCACATGCCTATAGTCCTAGCTATTGGGAAGGCAGAGGAAGGAGTATCACTTGAACCCGGGAGGTGGAGGTTGCAGTGAGCCAAGATCACACCACTGCACTCCAGCCTGGGCGACATAGCAAGACTCCATCTCAAAAAAAAAAGAAATTCAGATCTTCAAATTAAGCCAATATGAGCATCTATAGCTAGTTTTCTAATACCTTATTCTTAAAATTTTTTTTCCCTTTTTTTGAGATGGAGTCTAGCTCCGTTGACCAGGCTTGCTGAAGTCTAGTGGTGTAATCTTTGCTCATTGCAACCTTTCCCTCCCAGGTTCAAGCAATTCTCCTTCCTCAGCCTCCCAAGTAGCTGAGACTACAGGTGCATGCCACCTTGCCTAGCTAATGTTTTTTTTTTTTTTTTTTTTTTTTTTAAGTAGAGGCAGGTTTTCACCATGTTGGCCAGGCTGGTCTTGAACTCCTGACCTCAAGTGATCTGCCCACCTCAGCCTCCCAAAGTGCTGGGATTACAGATGTGAGCCACCACACCCAGCCTAATTATTACTCTTTTATAGTACGGACATAGTGGCTCGCTCCTATAATCCCAGCACATTGGGAGTCTGAGGTGGAGAGATTGCTTGACTCTGGTAGTTTAAGACCATCCTGGACAACATGGTGAAACCCCCTCTCTACAAAAATTACAAAAATTAGCTGGACATGGTCGTGTACCTGTGGTCCTAGCTACTTGGGAGGATGAGGCAGGAGGATTGCCTGAACCCAGGAGTTGGAGGCTGCAGTAAGCCCAGATTGTGCCATTGCACTCCAGCCTGAGCAACAGAGTAAGACTGTGTCTCAAAAAAAACAAACAAAAAAATAGTAATTTACAATGTAAAACTTTTAAATAACTTCAGTGGATTTACTGTTTTTTAGTTTTAGTAATTTAATGTTTGGTGAGATTTCTTGCTTAATTTAAAACTATTTTAAGCCAGGCACGGTGGCTCACACCTGTAATCCCAGCCCTTTGGGAAGCTGAGGCAGGTGAATCACTTGAACCTGGGAGGCGGAGGTTGCAGTGAAGGGAAATCATGCCACTGCACTCCAGTCTGGGTGACAGAGCCAGACTCCATCTCAAAAAAAAATATATATATATATAGATGTGTGTGTGTGTGTAATAATATATAATAATTGTTATGATTGTATAATAATAATATAACTGCTTGCTATAGTGGCTGACACCTATAATCCTACCCCTTCAGAAGGTCCAGGCCAGTGGATCACTTGAGCCTAGGGGTTGGAGACTAGCCTGGGCAATATGGCAAAACCCCATCTTCTAAAAATAAGTAAATAAATAATAAAGGCATTTAAATTACAGAAAGAAGATAAAAGAAAAGATGATTCTAAAGATGATGATGAAACTGAAGAAGATAACAATCAAGATGAATATGACCCTATGGAAGCAGAAGAAGCTGAGGATGAAGAAGATGGTATGATTGAAATTTATTTATTATTTCTTAGAGTTAAGAATGCATTTTTTGTTTGGTGACATTGTATCACTGAAATCTATATTTTTAATATTTTTTCTTTGGAATAGAAAGAGTAATACACTCTTCAGTGAGAAAGTTTTTCCAATTTTTAGGTGAGAAGATTGTTTTAAGACATATTTATTACTAATTATCCTAAGTCTCTCATATAATTAATACTCAGAACAAATTTCCCTAAACTTGGTGCTTAAGCTGTGCCATAAAAGCTATAATAGGACAGGCACAGTGGCTCACACCTGTAATCCTAGCACTTTGGGAGACCAAGGCAGGTGGATCATTTGAGGTCAGGAGTTGAAGTCCAGCCTTGCCAACATACTGAAACCCCATTTCTACTAAAAGTACAAAAATTAGCCAGGCGGTAGTGGCGCGTGCCTGTAATCCCAGGTACTCCAGAGGCCGAGGCAGGAGAATCACTTGAGCAGGGGAAGCGGAGGTTGTGGTGAGCCAAGATTGTGCCCTTGCACTCCAGTCTGGGCAATAGAGTAAGACCCTGTCTCAAAAAAAAAAAAAAAGTATAATAGTCCCTGATGTTTCATATAATAATTGCTTATTTTTTTTGTTGAGACAGGGTTCTCACTGTATTACCCATGCTAGGGTACTGTGGCATGCTCACAGCTCACTGCAGCCTCAACCTACCGGGCTTAGTATGATCCTCTCACCTCAGTCCCTGGAGTAACTGGGACAACAGGTGCTTGCCACCATTCCCAGCTAATTTTTATTTTTATTTTGTTATTTATTTATTTTCAGACAGAGTCTCGCTCTGTTGCCCAGGCTGGAGTGCAATGGTGCTATCTCGGCTCACCGCAACCTCCGCCTCCCGGGTTCAAGTGATTCACCTGCCTCAACCTCCTGAGTAGCTGGGATTACAGGCATGCGCCACCACACCCGGCTAATTTTGTATTTTTAGTAGAGATGGGGTTTCTCCATGTTGGTCAGACTGGTCTCAAACTCCTCACCTTGGCCTCCCAAAGTGCTGGGATGACAGGCGTGAGCCACTGTGCCCAGCCTAATTTTTAAGTTTTTTATAGGCACAGGGTCTCACTTTGTTGCCCAGGCTGGTCTTGAACTATTGAGTTCAAGGAATCTGCCCACATCACCTTCCCAAAAATGCAGGGATTATAGGCGTGAGCTACATGCCTGTCCTGAATATATTCTTTTTTTTTTTTTTTTTTTTTGAGACGGAGTCTCACTCTGTCGCCCAGGCTGGAGTGCAGTGGCACGATCAAGCTCCTCCTCCGCCTCCCAGATTCATGCCACTGAATATATTCTTTAGAAAACTAATTCGGGGCTGGGCGTGCTAGCTCATGCCTATAATCTCAGCACTTTGGGAGGTCAAGGCGGGGGAATTGCCTGAGGTCAGGGGTTCAAGACCAGCCTGGCCAACATAGTGAAACCCCATCTCTACTAAAAATACAAAAAATTAGCCGGACATGCGCCTGTTATCCCAGCTACTGGGGAGGCTGAGGCAGGAGAATGGCTTGAACTCGGGAGGCGGAGGTTGCAGTGAGCCCAGATCGTGCCATTGCACTCCAGTCAGGGCGACTGAGTGGGACTCCGTCTCAAAAAAAAAGAAAAAAGGAAAAAAAAAGGAAAACTAATTTGGGCATTTTGTTTAACAAAGACTATCGTAATGCAAAAGAGTACATACAGAGTTTAAAGACTACTAATAATAAACACCCATATACCTTTCGCCTAAGTTTTATAAGACAGACTTTAGTACCATGCGGTGACATTTAAAATACCGTACAGTAGATGCTCTGACCATAGACATCAACGATCAAATACCTATAAAGTGCCTCTGAATACCTTATCTGTTCTTTTCCAGGTAGATTTGTGGCTTTTTAAAAAAAGTATATTTTTCTGATATAGAAAATTACAAGAGTTCTTTTTGGTTTTTTTATAGTTTGTGTCTCTGTCAATTATTTTTACTTACGGTATTTTTTGTTTGCCTCTACATTTTCTTCTCTCTACCATATCAGTTTTTTTTTTTTTTTTTGAGACGGAGTCTCGCTCTGTCGCCCAGGCTGGAGTGCAGTGGCCGGATCTCAGCTCACTGCAAGCTCCGCCTCCTGGGTTCACGCCATTCTCCTGCCTCAGCCTCCCGAGTAGCTGGGACTACAGGTGCCCGCCACCTCGCCCAGCTAGTTTTTTGTATTTTTTAGTAGAGACGGGGTTTCACCGGATTAGCCAGAATGGTCTCGATATCCTGACCTCGTGATCCGCCCGTCTCGGCCTCCCAAAGTGCTGGGATTACAGGCTGGAGCCACCACGCCCCGCCCCGTATCAGTTTTTAATATTGTTTGATGAAAAAGTTGAAAAGATCAAAAAGTTGAAAGGATAGTGCAGTGAACACCTATGTATTCATCAACTTTGATTCAATAATTGTTAATATTTGTCTTGTTTTGTTTTTGTAACCCAATTTGACATATGAATTCTTCAGTTTGCCTAAGAAAAAACAAAACATGCTCTGAAATAACCACAATTCCATAATCACTCCTAAGAAAATATGATCATAATAGCATCTACTAATACTATGTAATATCTCCTCTTATTTGCCTTAATATAACTCAATAGCAAAGACATAATATTCATATAGCAGTATTTATCTTCATTACTTACTTTGCTTTATGAGGACTTAAGCCCTTTTTACAGCCCCATTTTCTCTCCCCTGTACGCCCAGTATTATTTTATTGCTGCTTTAGTTGAATCATTAAACAGTATTCTCATTATTTTGTTAGTGTTCCAGCTGTCAGCCCCTTTTTTTTTTTTTTTTTTTTTTTTTTCGGAGGCTTTCTGTGTCTGTCGCCCAGACTGGAGTGTGACGGCACGATCTGGGCTTTCTGAAAGCAACTTCCTGTTCGTGTACAAATGTGTGCCACCACACCCAGCTACTTTTTCTATTTTTTTTGTTTTGTTTTGCTTTTTGTTTTTTGACATGGGGTCTCACTCTGTTGCCCGCTAATTTTTGTATTTATAGTAGAGATGGGGTTTTACCATGTTGGCCAGGCTGTTCTTGAACTCCTGACCAGGTGATCTGCCCACCTTGGCCTCCCAAAGTGCTAGGGTTACAGACATGGGCCACTATGCCTAGCCTAATTTTTGTGTTTTTTGGTAGAGATGGGGTTTCACCATGTTGGCCAGGATGGTCTTAATCTCCTGACCTCGTGATTGACCTGCCTCAGCCCCACAAAGAGCTGGGTTTATAGGCGTGGGAGCCACTGACCCTGGCCCAGCCTTAGTTTATTTTTTCCTTTCACTCCTTTAATGTTGGTTTCATCCATTTTTCTAGCTTTAAATACTATCTATATACTGTTAATTCTCTCAAATTTCTAGTTTTCTTTCTTTTTTTTTTTTTTTTTAAGAGATATAGAGTTGGGCCGGGCGCAGTGGCTCACACCTGTAATCCCAGCACTTTGGGAGGCCCATGTGAGTGGATCACCTGAGGTTAGGAGTTCGAGACCAGCCTGACCAACATAGTGAAACCCCCTAAAAATACAAAAAAATTTCTGGGCATGGTGGCGGATGCCTGTAATCCCAGCTACTCGGGAGGCTGAGGCAGGAGAATCACTTGAACCCAGGAGGCAGAGGTTGCAGCGAGCTGAGATCATGCCATTGTACTGCAGCCTGGGCAGCAAGAGCAACACTCCATCTGTAAAAAAGAAAAAGACAGGGTCTGTCACCCAGGCTGGAATACAGTGGTATGGTCATAGCTCACTGCAGCCTCAAACTTCAAGGCTCAAGCAATCCTCCTCCTCAGCCTCCTGAGTGGCTGGGACTACAGGTACATGCCATTGCACCTAGCTGTTTAGTTTTTTGTAGAGATGGGGTCTCAGTATGTTGCTCAGGCTGGTCTTGACCTCCTTGGCTTTAAGCAGTCCTCTGCCTTGGCCTCCCAAAGTGCTGGGATTACAAGGATGTGCCAAGCCTCAAATTTCTATCTCATATCAAACTTCTTTCCCAGTCTCCCATACTAATCTGTCTACTTGACACCTCCACTTAGTTATCTGGCATTTCAAAATCAATATGTCTGAAACTAAACTCCTGCTAACCCCTTCACCAGAAAGAAAACATACACAAATCCTACAACCTTAGCCTTTGCCAACCATCTCATTTAATGACAATTCCATCTTTCCAGTTGTTCAAACTAAAACGCAGGAGTCATCCTTGACTCCTTTCTTTCTGTGATACCCTACTTCCAATCTATCAGGAAGTCATATTTGCTCTGTTTTCAAACTTATCCAGAATCAGTCCACTTCTTACCAATTCCACTAATTTGACTATAATCCAAGCCACATTATCTCTTGCCTAGATTATATTAATAGACCCCTAACTTGTTTCCATGTTTCCTCCCCTCTACAATAAAGTTTCTCAATACAGTTGCCAGAATGATCTTTGCAAAATTTAGAATTTATTTCGTTCTTTTGTTCAAATTCCTCGGGTGTTTTTGTTCTTTTTTTTTTTTTGGAGACGGATTCTTGCTCTGTCGCCCAGGCTGGAGAGCAGTGGCACGATCTCAGCTCACTGCAAGCTCCGCCTCCTGGGTTCACGCCATTCTCCCGCCTCAGCCTCCCGAGTAGCTGGAACTACAGGCGCCCGCCACCAGGCCTGGCTAATAATTGTTTGTATTTTTAGTAGAGACAGGGTTTCACCATGTTAGCCAGGATCGTTTCGATCTCCTGACCTCGGGTTCCACCTGCCTCAGCCTCCCAAAGTACTGGGATTACAGGAGTGAGCCACCGCGTCCGGCCCTTTTGTTCAAATTCTTCCAGTGTATCCCCATTATTTTTACCTCATAGAAAAAGCCACTGTTCCGGCTGGGTATGGTGGCTCACACCTGTAATCTCAGCACTTTGTGGGAGGCTGAGGCAGGTGGATAATTTGAGGCCAGGAGTCCCAGACTAGGCTGGCCAACATGGTGAAACCCTGTCTTTACTAAAAATACA